CCAGGGACTCTTTTCCTGGCCCAGACGACTTCACAGTGCTGTGTTGAGGGACGGAGACACTTAGAGCATAATCTTTAACATCCCCACCAGAGCAACTGAGGCACAAATGTGCTAAGGAAAGAAGCCTGTGGCATGGACAGATGGCTAGCTGTCGTAACACACCCGTGACAATCACAACAAATCCTGGGAGAGGAAGGGGAGAAGAGAAGCAGCCAAAGGTGCAGCCTCAACAGTACAAACCTCCGCGTGGTTCCCCTGGTGCTGGGCTCACCAGCACGCCATGCTCAGCGAGGTTCCAAACGCCTTGCTTTTGTTGATAGAGAGGACAGCAATGCCAGCTTGGCAGTTGGCATAAACAATGCAGAGATGGAGTGAAGCCAAGATGTAGACTGTGCCTCAGTGTGGGCGTACAGAAAGCGAGTTCGCAATCGATGATTTTGAAGGGTAAAAAGCAAAGCTGCAGCGCTGGTTTTAACACCTGGTCGAGCACGTCACCCAGTGAACCCTGTGTTGTTTCAAGTCATGGGTGCCCTCTAGCTGGGGCAGACTTTTGCAGAACGGTGTTTCGTGTAGTTGGAAAAGAAAGAACGACTTGGCTCATCCCCAGTAAAAGTGCACACGCTCATAAAGCAAAAAGCCCTCTACAGAGAGTCATTCTTTCCCATTAACCTACAACTTGGAAAATTAGGACCCCTTTGAGGATCACGGACTCCCAGCTGCGACAACTCACAGGGGGCAGATCCGGGAGGTGGAGGCAGCTGAGGATGGCTTCAGGAGAGTTTTGAGGTGGCTGAAGCGTTGGAGCTGTCTACAATGGAAAGACACCAGAAACAGCTGGCACCCCACAAGGAGGGAGAAGGGACTCGGACTGGGGTTGGGCGGGGCAGCAGTTTGCTTCTGGCACAGCACCCTCGGGAACAGGCCTGCCTGCTGCCTGGATTCAGTGACAACTGCAGGCTCCACGTTAACCACACCGGTTCCTTCCTTCTCCGTAGCAGCGACGGCAAACAGATGCTGGCCCAGAGATAGCTGGAGCTTTGTTAACTCATGGGGAAGTGGACAGGCTGGGGTCTCTTCCAGCAAATATTTCCAGGGGGTGAACTTTAAGACATTCCCCAGAATTCACGGCCTGGTGTGGGGTGGTTTAGACATTAGAAAAGAATCCTCCTACATTTAGAGACAAGCAGTCACCAGGAAGCCGGGGTGAACCAGACAGTCAAGAAATGACATAACAGAGCCTGGGGCAGTGGCGCACACTTGGCCGAGGCAGGAGGATCTCAAGTTCAAGGCCAGCAATTTAGCAAACTCTGTTTCCAAATAGACAAAACAAAAGGGCTGGGGAGGAGCCGAATGTGGCGGCACAAGCCTGTAATGCCAGCACTCTGAGAGTTCTGAGGCAGGAGGATCCAAACTTTGAGGCCAATCTGGGCAATTTAGTAAGTCCTGTCTCAAAATATGGCAGGGGGGCTCTGGGGATGAGTAGACATGGTGGCATAGAACTGTAATCCCAGCATTCTGGGAGGCTGATACAGGAGGATCACCAACTCAGGTCCAGCCTGAGTAACTTAGTGAGACCTTGTCTCTAATCAAAAAACAGAAAAGAGGCTGGGAACAGAGCTCAGTGTAAAAATCCTTGGCTCCAGCCTCTTTCGAAAGCATCCTTCCCCACGCTTTTTATCTTCCTACGGCTCTTCTAACAGATGAGTGTGCTTGGAGACCACTGCTCACTGCAACAAGGGAGAGGCGGGGGTGGGACACAGGACACTTGGGAGCATAGGTCAGGGGATGATGCCCACAACTGATTCTTCCCCTGGCCTTGTCCCTGACTGCTCAGAAACAAAATGCCTTGTGCTCCTGTCCCCTGCCATGCAGGCAACAGAGAGCAAACTTCTGCCCTGGACATCCAGCAGACACACAAAAGGAAGGATTCTTTTCCTCCTTCGGAGCATCTTCTAGGACACACATGGGAAGAGACCTGGACTTGCTCTGACCTCCTGCTGTCCTTCCACCAACCTGCAGCACAGACTCTGGGGATCCTAGCCTTGTAGGTCAAAAGGAGCTATTAATTCTGCAGGAACCAGATCAGAACCCGGGTCCTGGGACTACGTGGTCTGGCAATGCTGGGTCCCCCAGGTCCCATGATTTGGACAAGGCCCTGGGGGCCGATGTGCCTCGACCTCTCAATCGCATTTTGATGGGGAAGAGAGGAAGCCCCACACAGGGGGGGGAAGAGACGGGCAGCTGGCATCGAACATGGAGGGACTGAGGCCCAGTGCGAGGACTGTGAACAATTCCCACAGGGGAAAGGACCTTTGAGACATGGCCTGACAGTCAAGGAGATGAGGCTGGGTCCTGCCTAGCTGAGACTTTCTTCTTCCAACTGTCCAGCTGTCATTTCGATTACCAGCCACTTCCTGGAAAACCCCAACGCCCATACCTTCAGGGAGCGGGGAGCAACCATCTGCTGTTTTGCCCTTGACTGTAAACACAAACATCTCATATTCCCCACAAAAGCAAATGAAGTTAGGCCAGGGAGGAGAAACTAAACCTGGAGATGAGCTTGGATTGGAACCCAGGAAGGAAGAAATCCAAAGGTAAGAAGGATACAGCCATCCGGGAACACAGCAACATCTGATAAGACCAGGCTAGAGACCTAAAGATTCTACCTATCTCTGCCAAAGTAGGAGCTGATACACAATTCAAAACTCAAAACCGGGGGATGCCTATACTGACAACCCCTCCAAAACCAACACAACTGACTTGTTCAGAGAAAGCAGGATCTTGCCGGGGGGGAAAAATCCTAGTTCCAGGGAGAGACAAGGTAAAAATTAATAGATGTATTGCTCAGGCCTGGTCCTCAGAACAGTCTACAGGGACCCAGGATGGCTCCAATTAAGCTACAAAGATAAAACCATAAACAGGCCCAATGCTAAATTCCACATCTGCTGAAGACCAGTTTTCTACCCAATGAAGTAAATTCAAGTCCAGCCTGGACAACCCAGTGACTTAGTGAGACCCTGTCTCAAAATTAAAAAAATTTAAAAGGCTGGGGATGTAACTCAGTGTGAAGCTCCTGGGTTTAATCCCTAGCACTGAAACAATAACAACAACAGCAACAAAACACAATGTCTTTAACAATCTGGCTAAATGTTAAAAATCCAAATGATGGCCATTCATAATAATTAAAAGTGATAACAAGTACTTACCATATGTTAGGCACTCAGGGTTTTCCATATTTCAGGCAACAGCCTTGGAGATTGGTAGTATGATTCCCACTTTACAAATGGGCAACTGAGGCACCAAGGAATCAAGCCAGTACTAGGCAGCAGGGTATATTTGAACTCAGCAGTCTATCTTCCGAGACCATTGCAACTTGCTACCCAGAGCAAGGCAGACAGGCCAGTATAATTGTTGGCACATTTTGCAAACTCAACAGTCATCTCCAGTACTGAGGCCTGGAAGGGTCTTCCCAGAGCGAAGCGCTATGGCACACATTCTGCTTCCTGGTGTTTCTATGAATCACCAGGCAGAGTTCATCCATGCAAACAGTGGAGCTGTTTACAAGAGGGGCGGCACAGGTTTTCTGGAGCCAGAGCATCTGCACCTAGGGCCATGTTGGGTCACCCCTAGCTGCACAACTTGGGGAAGGCACTTCTCCAAGGCTCAGTGCTCCCACATAAAAGGCAGGGTAAGCCACAGTCTTGGTCATGAGTTTACTTTGTGAGTTATGGTTATCAGGAGCTATTAACACGACCACAATAATTGCTAGAGGATTCAGTAATTTCACTAATAACTTTCTTTAGCTGTATTCTGAGATTCTGCTCACCATAAACAGTGTGTAGACCACAATAGGGTACAGAAAACACAACCTCCACCCACGCAACCTTCCCTACAAATGAACTGGAGCTTAATACTGAATGGGATTTCTCATCTTACTTCCTTATTTGCAAAAACTTTCATGATTCTCAAAAACATTTAATATTCACTATCGATTAGCAAGTTAACATTTCTAATGAAGAATTTCTAGAACACACCAACTTTCTAAAGTTTTTTAATGAGTTGGTGACAGCCCTGGATCCTAACATTCCCCAGCTCCCAAGTCTTTGTATCCACATGGGTCACTATGTGCTCCACAGAAAGGGTCCCCTTCTCTCCAAATTAAAGAATAAGGTGCAAAGTCGAGTCGATCCTTAGGATCAAATCACAGGGACCAGCCCATCAGCCCAGCTTCACCTGCGAGCTTGACTGTAAAGTAAAACGAAGTTTACCCAGGAGAGAGAAACTTCACCATTTCTTTTCTATTCCTTTCTGAGCCGAATCCAAACTACCTAGTGGCCAACATATGACACCAACTTCCAAGAGTGGGAATAACAGGATTTGGGGATTTGCTGCCTTCTGGCAAGGATCCTTGGGTTATTTTTAGCAATCTTAAATCATCCTTTTTCTATTCTCTTCTTTTCTTTTTTTTTTTCTTAAGGACATAAAGAGCCCAGGCCAAAACGAAGTAAGGGTCTTGACATGTGGAAATCAAACTGCCCAGACCACCCAGCCTACAGGCCGCAAATGCTAAGAAAGCAGGCACCCTTGTAGCAGAAGGCACACTTTGGGGGCTCAGCGCCCGCACCCCACAAGTTCCCATTCGAGTTCTCTGACGATTTAGCCAGACAAAGACGGCAAGTTCCCCGGCCCACAGCTCCACAGCCGGGGACGGAGTTTCCCCAAATTAGGCCCACTCCCATCCTAGGGCGCCCCGCCCGCCGCGGAGGAGTCCCCAGGATGTCCCCAGCATGGTCCCTGGTCCTCCCGCAACACCCCCGCTCCAGCTCGCGCCCGGAGCTCCTCCGGGCTGCGGCCAGACCTCGGGCCCTCACCCGCCCGAGGCTGCAGGCCCACTAGCCCAGCACGCCCCCCACCCCGGCTCCGCCGAAAAGGCGCCGCCCAGTCCCGAGTGGGCGCCGCAGACCCCGGCCCCGCGGCCCGCGCCGCGCTCTGATACCCACCCGGATCCCGCCGCCGAGGGCCGGATTCGCGCCGGCTCCGGGAGCGGACAACACTGCCGCGGTCGCCGCAGCAGCTGGCAATGAGGCGCGGCGGGGCGGGGACACTCGCGAAGCCCGCCCCCGGGCCCTCCCCTGATCCTCCCAGCCGTCCTCCCCGGCGGTCCCAGCGCCCGGGGCCAGCGTCCTCAGACGGTCGCGCGCCGTAATCTCCAACCTCTGCCCGGGACCGAAGCCCCGCGCCCCCGAGGCGAGCTAGGGACTCCTCGTTCGCGTTCGGCCTCTCTGCGCCGCTCTCTGCTTTTATGTTTTTTGTATTTGGGGGTAGGAAAGAAGGACACCTGGCAGAGGACCCTGGGTGTCGCTCCTCCAGCAGGGAGTCCTCGAAGGACGCCTGGACAGACAACGCCTGGCCCCCCAGACCCTCACCCTGCCTACCACCCTCGGGCCCGTAGCTGTCTTGGGGTCCCTGGGGTCACACAGTGCCGGACGTACGTAGATACTGTTGTCGCCTTAATGAAAACTGAGTCCTAGCAGGGCAGAGCTAAAGCACATGTACACCGAAACGCATTCGCAGCTTTAGTTAGTGCGCTCCACGTGCTCGCGAAAGGCACAATGGCCGCGCGCCCGGCCACCCCCCACCCCCGTCCCTACAGCGCCAAGTCCTAGCCCCGCCGGATGTTGACGGCGTCTCCTGGCAACGGGAGATGGCGCAGCCGGGAGACCGAGCTAGCGGGTAAGCCGGCCAAGAAGACAGGGGTTCTTGGGGCTGCCAAGCCATGCTGTTGAGCCATCCACGCCGAGATGGCCCGAGCGTCGTCCCCTTCGCCTCCACATTTCTTCTCTCCTCTTTCTTCCCATTTTCCGAGACTTTCCGATCCCTTCCCGTCCACCGCCCCCTACAACCCTCTCCCCTTTCCTCCTGTCCTTTGGCCTCCCCCCGCCCCATTCCCCTAGCCTAAGCTCTTTTCTCCCTCTAAGACTCCCGCTGACCATCCCCTGGTAACCATGGCAACTGATGTGCCGGGCTGTCCCAGCTGCAGAGCGCGGCACAGATCCGTGGGATGCTGCCCCGACCATACGCTGACGACACTTGACATTCACAGGGATCCGGACGCCCCAGCCCCTGAGCCTCCCCTCTGCAAGAATGAATTCCCATCACAGGCTGACGATGGTGGTAGTAGGGCAGGGACCGACAGCCCAGTAGCAGACAGAGCACCTCACTCTCTTCCGCCCCAGGGCGAACCTTAAGCACACCCAGAGGGGTTAGCTAGGAAAGATCCGTGCCCCAGTTCGGATCGGTTTTTCGCTGTGTGAAGGGTAGAAACGATTTTGAAGAATTTTACCACCTTTTTAAAAAACCCTAGACACTTCTATATTGTTTCACATTCTTTTCTTTCTTTCTTTCTTTCTTTCTTTTTCTTTTTTTTTTTTTTTTTTTTTTTTGGAGTTTTGAGATAGGGTTTCGCTATGCAGTTCAGGCTGGCCTTGAGCTCACTTTGTAGCCTAGGCTGGGCTCCAATTTGCAACGATCCTCCTGCCTCAGCCTCCCAAGTGCTGGGATTACAGGTGTGCACCACCACACCCAGCTATTGTTTCATATTTTTTAAAAAGGTAGGTTTATATGTACTGACAAGGAGAGCACAGATTTTGCACTTAATGTCCAACAGTTACCGGTAACCAGTGATCTTGCGAAAGAGGAAAAATCACAGTGGTGATCCTTATTGGTGTCACACATATCTATATTCCTTTGATGGGGAGGAATTAGCTTATATTTTGAATTTTAAAAAATTTTGTAAGTAACTTTCTCATGCAATGTAAGTAGTTGAGAAGCTAATGCAGAGTCTCCATAAGCTTTGTCTTTGTGCATTTTTCTTTGCTCTGTTTTTCTTGTCCCCAGTTTTGTCCCAGATGCATTTTGGTTAAGGTGACTTTTTGGGGGTGATCTCATGGTGTGATTCCCATAATGTTTTGTTTTGTTTTGTTTGGAGATAGGGTCTTGCTACATAGTTCAGGCTGGCCTTGAACTCACTATGTAGCCCAGGCTGGCTTCGAACTTGAGGCAATCCTTCTGCCTCAGCTTCCCAAATGCTGGGATTACAAGCATGCACCACCACACCTGCCCCCTTAATGTTTTAATAATTGTATTTTTATTTCTTCTTGGACTGAGCTTGTGACACCTGGGCCCCATGACAAGCACACTCTAGTGATAGGACAAAGACCTGATAGACAGCCTGAGGGAAGAGAAAATTCACAGGTGAACAAACAAGAATACAGAATTCAAGGGGTGATACATGTTAACTGTTACACTGTTCCCCTCTGCGAGCAGGTCTCCCCTGGAAGGCAGGTCGACTTTGGAAGGAGAAGAGGGACCCAGCGATGAAGGCCATGCAGTAAGGCTCCCGGGAGAAGGTGCTCTGGGCTTGTGTTTACTGGGAGGCACAGGGGCTGGGATTTGCTCAGCTCAGTTTCCCTGTGACCCTTTTACCTGGCACTGGGACAAACAATGCAGTTGCCAAGAAACCTGTTTTCCTTCTACCTCCCTCCAAAGTGTGGGCGGTTAGCAGGAATACCGAGGATAACTAACTCCCAATCGTCTTTAGTTTCTCAGAACTCCTTTCCTGTGACCACGTGTGCAGGAGTATGGGCACCTATTAAAGTGTGAACCAGTCTCCTTCTGGTGACACCAGATATGTGCAGATGTGTCTTCCCTACAAGATGACCCCACTGCTAAGCGCACCACTCGCCTAACCCTTTACCTTTTGTGCAGACGCCTGGATCTTTTCTACCCCCTGTTACAGGTGTCACCACTGGAGAACAGTGACCAGAAAAGTGAAGAGGCCGTGGGTGCATCGGGCCCTTCTGCAAGGGAAATTGAGGCCGAGGACAAAGTGGAAATAGAAAAGGAAGCAGCTAAGGATGGGGCCATTTCAACTGAAGGGGAGGCCACTGTTACAGCAGACCCCAAATCCACCCAGAAAGTGAAAACTGAAGAAGAATTTGAATCTGACGTGGAAAATGCATCCCTTGAAAGTCAAATCAGTTCAGAGCTCTTGTTTGCAGATATCAGTCCTCAGGAGGTGCCGAGAGGTGACACTGGCTTTGTGTATCCGTACCAAACTGGTGATGATTTCTCCCGAGTGGCTGGGCCATCGGAAACAGTAGTTGTCACCACAGAGCCATTCCAGTCCATGAGCTCAGATGCTTCAGGATCAACAGCAGGCCCCTTGGTGAGCAGCCTTGGTTTCTGGTCAGGGCCCGTGTGGTTCATCACCTTACATGTGGAGCTTGAAGATGAATAACCAAATGTACAATCCCCATTCAGGCTGTCTTAGCAAACACGGGTCTCAGAATCTGCTATGCAATGTGGACAGGTTCTGTACTCCCCTCAGTCTTCTCAGACCCGGGTCTGGTTGGCAGTATTGTGTCCTCACCATCCATGTAAGGGCACCAGGCTGCCTGCCTCCTGGAGCAGCTCAGTTCAGTACAGTGCCCCTGAGCTACCCAGAGTCACATGCTCATTTCAGGAGCACTTGACATACGGCTTTTGAGGAGGAGCTGAATTGTTAATTTTTAAAAATTCATATTTATTTTAAATAGCCAGCTGTGGCAAGTGACTGATATCCTGGACAGTGCAGTTCTAGATCAAAACAATGAGAAAATAGTCAGGGTGGTAGCACATGCCCGTAATCCTAGTGACTAGGAAACTGAGGTAGGAGAATGGCAAGTTCAAGGCCTGTCTCAAATTTTTTAAATAGGGCTGGGGATGTAGCTTGGTGGTAGAGCACTTACCTACCATGTTCAATCTTAGCACCTGGATTCAATCTTAGCACCACACACACACACACACACACACACAAAAGTGTGTTGCTATATTACCAGCAAACGCTCAGTGCTCATTGATGTTTCACGAGGTATTCCAGTAGTAACTTTTAGAGTGAAGAGGTCACATCTCTTTAGTGTCTCCTATTTCCTCTTGACTTGGATGACTTTGACCTTGTGAAGACCACAGGCCAGTTTTTCTTATTGTTTTTATGGTACTGAGGTCGAACCTAGAACCTAAGATGCTTTACCACTGAGATATACCCTTAGCCCTTTTTGAGACAGGGTCTTGCTAAGTTGCCCAGGCTGACTGTGAAGTTGCGATCCTACTGCCTCAGCCTCCTGAATCACTAGGATCACAAGTATGTGCTGCCAATATGCAGGCCAAGACCAGCAATCTTGTAGAATGTCCCTTGGTTGGATTTGCCTGGTGTTTCTGGTTGTGGTTCCCTGGCCGAACCACCACAGAGGTGACACTGTGTCTTCACAGAACTGACCCAGCCATGCAGCTTCCAGGATGCACCTCCTTACCACGTTTGGTTCCAGTGCTCCAGCAAAAAGGGCCAAGCCCCACCCCCCACTGGTGGAGTTACTTTTCCCTCTGTGTATTTAGTGATGATTTCTTGGGAAGGTACATTTTTTGTTTAAAATAGGTGAAGGGGAGAATCTAAATGATACATTTTATATAATTTTAATCAACAAAGGCTTTCTAAACACGTGTGAAAGAAAAATAAAATAAGTGAATATTTATTTAGGAGAAGAAAAAACAACAGATTGCTACCATTTATTTAGGTCTTTTTTCTGTTTCAAAATGTGGACTGGTGCTGAGCATCTTCTGCCAAATTTATCCCTAAGTATCTCTCACTTTTTGCTGCTGATGTAAATGGTTTCCAGTTCCTGGTTGCTGGCTTACAGAAATGCAATAGTTTGTTATAATCCCCAACTTTGCTAAACTCCTTTATTAGTTAGGATAGCTTGCTTGGAGAATCCATAGCTTTTTAATAAAAAAAATGATCCTTTCATCTAAAAAATAAAAAGACACTTAACTTCTCCCTTTCCAGTTGATACACTTTTCTTCCTTTTTCTGCCTGCTTACATTGGCTAGACCCTCAAGCACAATGGAACAGAAAAATGGTGGGAGTGACATCTTTGTCTTGCTTATTTGTTTATGTATTTATCAATGTGTTTGTTTAATTTGGGACCACCAGCTGCATTGGCTCTCAGGGCAGGCTCACAGTGGCAGGAGCAGGTACAGGAGGAAGCAGGGAGTGGCACGCTCACCCCAGCAGAAGTCAGGGATTTCAGGAAGCTTGCTTCTGAGAACACACCCCTGCTGACCTAAGAGCTTCCCCAGATCTTCAAGGTTCTGCCACATCCTGATAGTGTCTTCCTGGGGACTAGGCTTTACTCACAAGACCCTTTGGGGGATCACGGTTAAGCCATGTGCAAACCACAGCATCTCTCATTGGTCAACCTTGGTTATTCTTGTTCTTGACCCCAGCAGGTCCCACAAGAGAAAGCCTTTCCTATGGGCTTACAACACAGCTTCAGACTGAACCAAGGGAGCAGTGTGGTGACCTCGGATGAGGAAGAGCTTTCCCTGAACCTGGAGGAGCCCTTTGAGCAAGGTACCCTCACACCTGCTGGCATTGTCCTGACAGTGAGATAAGCCACTTGCGTATCCCTTTCTGTGCAGGTAAGGCTGTCCACTTGGCACTTGCAGCCTTGTTACCTACAGGGCTGCATATTCCTCAGCTTTCCCATTGCTGGGTACAATGCCCAACACCCACAACTTACAGAAGGAAAGGTTTATTTTGGCTCAGAGTCTCAGAGGAGTCAGTCCATGGTCACCTGGCTCCAAGGCAGGGCCATTGTGGTGGGAAGGCTTCTTAGTTCATGGCAGCTGGGAGACAGCACCAGAAAGCAAAGGGTACAGGACCAGACACAGACCCAAAGTCATGCCTCCATAGCTCACCCAGACACACCTAGGAGTGTGTCCACCAGTCCCCTGCACAGCTCCCAAACTGGTCAAGTTGACACAGATAAGCTGACCTGTCATAGCCTGCGTGGCTAAAATGAAAATATCATCCACTCAAATGGATACGATTTATGGCACATTTAGTCTCTTTTATCTCATTGCATCCTCACACTAACCCAGTGAAGTAGAAACCATTCTCCATTGTTGAGACGAGGGCCAGAGAGCCACTTGTAACTTACCCAAACAGGTGATCTAGTCCTTCAGTAATGAACCTCCTTTCTCTTCACTTTTCATATATAAAGAAGTATCTACAGGATAAATTTACTTCCTGCCTACCTTTAAAATGTGATTCTTGGGCCAGAAATATAGCTCAGTGGTACAAGCGCCTGCCTGGCAAGTGCAAAGTCCTGAGTTTGATTCCTGGTCCCGCCCAAAAATGTGATTCTTTCTATGGAATACATTGGAAGGCCATACAGAGAGACCATATAAAATGTCTGAGACTGTTTCCTTTTTCCTGCAATACTGTGGATTGAACCCAAGGCCTTTATACTGAGCTATACTGTATTCCTAGTCCTTTTTTATTTTGATACAGGATCTCGCTAAATTGCTTAGTTGTGCAGGCTGAGCTCAAACCTGCAATCACCCTGCCTCAGCTTCCCAGAGTGCTGGAATTATAGGCTTGTGCCACCATGCCTGGCAGCCCCCCTTGGTTTGTGTGGCTTTTCTTTCTCTTTGTGTGAATGTGCCATGGGAGTGGGAGCACTTTTGCTGCCAGCTCCCGCAGGATGCAATGATCAGGCACTCTGTTAACTCCTCAGTGACATAGCTCTGTCCCCTGTGGTCTCCCCAGAGGAGCCTGATGCCCACTCTCAGGAGGAAGCATTGCTGGACCAGGCCCAAGAGTTAAGCCCCGAAGAAGAGCCTTCAGTGGAGAGACTAGAGTCCGAGGGGAGTGACGAGGCAGAAGATGAGGAATCCCAGCTGATGGTTTTGGACCCAGACCACGTAAGACAGTGCAGCATTCCAGGGTTTACTTTCACTATACGGGTCCTTTTCTACCCTCTCACCCCCGTGCTGTGTCCCTGTTATGCTGCCCACTGTACTGCTGTCTGTGTGTATGCCTCTTGCTTTGTAAAGTGTGTTCTTTTACATTGAAATACCTAGAGTACACATTTTCCCAATCTCAGTTCTGCTGACATTTGGGGCTAGATTATTCTCTGGTGGGGCCATCCTGGGCTCTATAGGCAGCACCCATGGCCTCCACCCACGACATGCCAGTAGCACCCCCTGCCTTGTTGTGACAACCACAGATGTCTCCGGACCTTGTCACATATGGAGGGTAGATGGGGCCACTGCCTTGAGAATGCCAACCAGATTGCAGTTCTTTGTTCCAGCCTCTGGCAAGGAGCAAAGACAGATCTCAGTTGGAGTTGCCCATTTGGAAAGCTGTGGTGCTCCGGATGATGTGGGAAGAAGCCCTAGCAAAATGTTCTGGGTGCCTGTTCGATGCTGGCATCCCAGCTACTGCTCACCACCACTGTCTGGGCCCTGGTAAAACTCAGATGACCAACCAGTTCACTATCCTTTTGCCAAACTATGCACTTAACTTTGCAGTGCCTGGGATGATGGGACCAAGAGGTATCTGGAATGTGTCCTGTCGAGAGGAGGCCTCCCATGCAGAAGTAGGGAGCGCCCAGTGTGGCCATTGCCTCTGTGCCCCCTTACCCACGCACCCCTGCACACAGGCTCAGCCCTGGATGGGACAGGAGTAACTACATGGCTTTCTGTTGCTTTAGCCCCTGATGGTCAGATTCCAGGCTGCCCTGAAGAGCTACCTGAACCGCCAGATAGACAAGCTGAAGCTGGAACTTAAAGAACTGGTGCGTATGGGTTCCATCATCTCCCGGCCAGGCTGGGCATAGTCCATCCATTGACCCTGTTTCTCTCTCTCTGGTGTAGGAGGTGGCCAACAAGCAAAGCCGAGCCCAGCGTCAGGAGCTGGGCGTGAATCTCTACGGAGTCCAGCAGCACCTGGCTCGCCTGCAGATGCAGCTGGGGAAAAGCCAGGACCGCCACTCCATCGCTGCCAATGAGAGGAGACAGAAGGAAGAGGAGCTGCAGGAGGTGCGCACGCTCTACACCAAGACCTGGGAAGCTGCCAATGAGGAGCAGAAAAAATGTAAGGCACCCAGCGACCTGGGCATTGCATTCCCAGTGTGCAGACCCCTGTGTGTGTCCCTGTGCCATTGTGGGACACTGAGCAAAGCAAAATGTGTGTGTGTCCTGGAAGTGTTCTATTTTTTAGGAAAGGAAGTCCTGTAGATATCTTAAAAAGCACTTAGTTGGACAACGCAGCAAAGGCTGAAACCCACCATAGTAAAAGTCTGGTGTAGACACAAAATCCCAGGGAAGGGAGGCAAGGAGGTTCTGAGGGAAGGGCGGAAGGAGCACAGAGCGGGGTATACAGTTTTCCGGGCCAGCACAGGAGGCCATGCCAAAGCACACAAGGACTGGGCCCACGGCCCCAGCCCAGCAGCTCCATGGGAGAGAGGTCACTTGGGTGGGGAAGCCGAGGAGCTGCACCACGCTGTAGGCAGTGTCCCTACTGCGCCACACCCTGTGGAGCCAGAGCGCAGAACAGTGCAGTACTGGGGGTACTTCCTCCTTTGGCTTCCCTGATCATGTCAGGCAACTCTACTACCAACACAATAGGAAGATACCCTAAAGGAATCTGGAAGCAACCAGGATCAGATGTGTATCTTACTTTCCTGGAGAACGGCACACTGAACCCTGAGAAATGCAGCAGAGGTTTTGGACTTTTTGGATTCTTTTTCTGTGCTGCTGTGGCAGAATACCACTGGGCCATGGGAGATGAGCTGGACTTTGTCCTGTGCACAGTTCTGGGGGGTGGGGAGAACATGACAGGGGACCCAGTGCCTGTGGGGAGCAGCATCTCACAGCCAAGGGAGAGGAGAGGGAGGTGGGGCTCACATCCTGGACCCCTCTCACAGCTGGTGGCTCCATCGTGAGGGTGGACCCCAGTGACCAGAGCACTGCTTGTTGGGGAGTAACTCTTCAGGACAGACATTTGAGGGGACACATTCAGAGCCTCTCTCCAGCTACCTCCAAATGAACAGAAAACAACACACAGGAAGAACGTGAATCCACACTAAGACTGACAGTCATGATGTTCTGACATACGTAGCAGGGCTCAGACCACGCCGAAGGTGGATGGACCCCCTCACTCTGGCCTCTCCACACAGGCTCCTGTGTGGGCCAGCTCCCCTCTGCCCTGGCTCCTGGGGGTGGACGGACTTCTGGAAAGACCTAGACACTGTCATGGACCTTGTGTGATCAGGACAGGGCAGGAGCAGAAGCTGTTGGCCAGGCAAAGATGGCAGTAGTCAGCACTGGGTCTGCCTTCTCAGCCCCAAGACCTCAGTGATGGTCAGCACTGACCTGGGGGGCTGCTGCTACTGCGCTGTGCCTTAGGTGAGACCTGGTGCTCCACCCTTCAAGAATGCCCATGGTCACCTGCCTCACCTGGAGGAAGACAAAGCCTCCACATCAAAATGGGGGTTACCAGAGTGCCCTTAGGCTCAGCAGGCAGAGCAGCAGACTTGAGTGGGAAATGCCAGTGGGTGTCTGCATAAGATCTCAGGGGACAGTACATTGAAAATGAGAATGACAGTGATGAAGGACACCTGGAGTTAAAAACCATAGTCCCCGTCCCCACAACCACCAACAAACATGCCGGAACAGACCAGTGAATACTGGTGAAAACTGAACTCTCGGCTGCAAGGCCAGTCTTGAGGAATCCTCCCCAGAACAGCAAACCTCAAATAATGGATGTTTTGTGAAGGAGATGGGGAAGAGGTTATGAAAGTCCTTGCCTGTCAGACAGGCTTCATAGGGAAGAGTGGCAGGTAAGGACATGGCAGGAAATCAGGAAAGACGGGCCTTCGGATGGGAGGACTCATGGTGGGCAGCTGGAGTTTAAAGTAAACACACTTATACACAGCTGATAAGGTTTCCAAATTCCAAAGGCAAAGGAAGAAATGCTGCAGGCTTGCGAGCAGGAGGAGCCCAGGCAGCTTCCGCAGCAAATCCAGGCTGTGCTCAAACCTGGGGTTCCACCAGCTGCTCTTCGGAGCTAGGGAGCTCCAACCCTGGACCAGCCAGCCTGGACTTCTGATCGGGTTGGGCAGGCCAGGCATCCTCTGTTCTTTGCTTTGTTTTTTGTTTTTTTTTGTTTGTTTTTACCACTGTGCTTTTTCTGCAATCCTAATTTAATCCCATATTAACTAGAACCAGAGTTTTATTAAAGGTATCAGGTCTTCCAGCTCATCTCCCAGGAGCAACTAAAAAAAAATCTCACATCTCATAAAATGGCTGTTTTTGCACTGAGATTTCAGTATTTCAGTGTGACATTGTGAACATGAGATTCTGGAATAAAATTATTGTCAGGATATATTAAATATTAATATGATCATTACAAGAGCCACAGATTGTTTTGGAAACCGCTCGTGGCAATATGAGTCTAAAACCTCAAGGATTGGTGGTTATGTGTGCAGCTTCCTACCTTAAAGTTACACTTAGTGGTGACACAGGTGTGGAACACGAAGATCAAAGAAGGAAACATGGGCAAACGTCAATGACACAAGTAGCTTTTGCCATACCAGAAAGTTTGCAAAGCACATGTGACTTCGCTTTAAGCAGAGAGGAACTAGCAGTGTTGCCTTTCTGGTCTTTTTCTAGAATTCAAAGAAATGAAACTCTCCAACACTCAAAAGGAAAAAAAAAAAAAAAAAAAGAATGGAAAGGAAACTTTCTAATTCGTTGTTTTTTTTTTTTAAACACAGCACCAAAGTACTCTGTATTTACTGAAACTACAAATGTTTTTAATGGAATTAAGCATCGGTAATATGGGTGATCTCTGGTTGAATATTGCGTGTAGCCATCTCTGTATTTCCCTTTCTGGATCTGACCACTGCTTTCTTTTTTCTTTTTAAAGTCATCATATAGTGTCTCTGCAGTATAAATCCAAGGATCACAGAGAATATTTACATGGAGTCAGAAATTCCTACATTTTTCTAAGCATTACAATTATCAGGAGCTGGGTACAAATAAATATTCTGGTTCCACACCTCAGAAATTCTGACTCAGCAGATCTAGAATAAGACACCTTAGTCATTTTGGTGATGCTGTCGTAGATATTACCAGACCACACTGTGAGAACTGCTCTAATGGCTCAACCAAGCCTTTCCATCCTTTCTCCGAGTCCTATCGCCTTCAAGTCCTGCTTCAGTCACACATCTGGCTGACTGTTCCAATCAGAGAGATTATCTGAGCTCCCAGAGCAGTTATTTGATGGAACATTTTCAATACTGTGTATTATTAATATATTATGGTGCAAAATTATCATTTTTAAATGAAGCAACATAATCAGATATGCCTCAGTAGTTTTTGTTTGTTTTCTTTCCTTTTTTCATTGTTTTCATTTCTTTTTTTTTGCTCCAGTAATTTTTAAAAAACACTGACTTGTCATTTGGAAATATTGTGACTCAAAAATCTACTTTTAGTTTCAATTTATTTCAGTACTGACTTTGACTGATGTTATACCCAGAAACCTCTGGAATTTCATAAGTTCAAGGGAAGTACATCTTGAAGGGCTCTTACTAAATTATGTTACCAATTTTGCAATATGATCCACCAATGTGCATGAGACTGTAGACATTTTGTTGAAATTTAGTAAAGTTATTCCTTCTCTGACCAAACAGTTTTCACAATCTAATCATATAAATTTGCATTTAAAAAAACCCAGGTAATATATCTATATGGTACAATATTCAGGAGTGAAAAAAATGAGGTCCCCCTGCAGCTCCCTTCTTTGTCACTGTTTCTATCTCCACAGAGACGATCAGTTCTAGCCAAACATGGGCATTTAAAGCATGTAGAAGCTATTTTCTATACTTACTACAATGTTGAATGAGGGAAAATATGGTTGTCCCAGGCCGTACTACACGTTTCAACTTTATTTGATCAGAATTTCACTAATAACTGCTTAATATCATGGCTGTAGTTGTAACAGTATGGTTTATGGGCCAAAGAATGCCCCAAATCACTGCTCCCTCCTTGCATAATCTGTTCAATTTTTGTTTTGTATTTTGGGTACCAGGAATCGAACTCAGGACCTTGCGATTACCAGGCAGGCATGGGGGCCACTGAACTATATCCCCAGCCTGATTTTTATTTTTAAAGTCACCAGCTGCTAGGAATGCCCGGAGCTTCTGTTGGCCTCAATATACAGCAGCAAGCTGCTCTTAGGCCTTGGGTTTGGCCTTTTGGAGGCTAAACAGCTGACCAACTCCTTTCCTGTCATTTTTTTGGCCATCTTGAAGTTGTACCCAGTGAATGATAATAGTTGTTTTCAATGAACATGAAATTTAGACAGATTAACAACATTTGCAGCATTAACAAGGCAAGTATGTTAGTTAAGGTAATATAACTAAGGTATTATTAATTGCTAGAGTAAAACCCCCACATTTTGGAAGCTTAATATGATAGTTTATATAATTCCTGCTGGATAGCAATTTCTCATCAGAACTTCATACTTTGACACAGTAGTCATCCTCAGACTTTCCTTCATTGCTTCAGTTTGTGAGCTTTTTATGGTTTCAGGATCCCATGTTTGATGAAATGTCCTCTTTGTGCCTTCATACCCTAGCGTCTATTAAGGTTCCGTATTTGTGGGCCTTTCCTGCAGCAAAGAATGGCTGTCAAAACTGCTAGCAGTGGCACAAGTCACAGAGTATCTCCTTCAAGTCCTGGCTGTCCCAGAAGAGAAGGGTTTTCATTTAGCCAAAGTGATTTTGCAGTATCTGGTGTAGCCTCAACTTGTAGTGACATTGTGAAGAGACCCCGTGTGCTCTGTTGTGTTCGCAGTGATGGTCTGTCCACGTGGTAATAAAAAGAGCTCAGTTGCCTTGGTTTTGTGCTGGTGCAGCAACTTCTGTGCAGCAGGATGCTGAGATGAGCTGTCCAGGACATCTGGAGTGCGAGGGTCCGATGTTTTCCAAAGGCGGTGCAGATGCCCTTGGAAACTGATGACTTGGTGGTTGGACTCTCTGGAAAGGTGGCCTAACCTGTGAATGGGAAGACTTTAGTTGTGCTTCTTGG